CCCGTATAGAAAATACTCCTGTGCCCATTTGATCCAGGGCTTGTGTTCCACTCTGTATGAGCCACATGCACAACATGCAGAAAGACACAAACGTCTATTTCTTGCATGTATGCAAGGCCAGGGTTGCTTGTGGCCTCTCTTTTTATGATATGTTCTCTATGCCTTCAAAAAGTAAGGAGAAACCTCAATGAATCTGTTGAGACTATTTGTAATCATATTATCTCCCTTTTTAGGTTAAGTAGATCATGCATTCATCTTCTCTAATTCTCATGGAGAACCTCTTGAGTTTGTTGTGAGTTCCGCCAAAACGAAGAACAGTTGGAAGATTTAACCCCATTTGGCCCTCATTTTATGGAAATGAAAATGGACGGAATAGTGCTTTTTTAAAAAAAAAAAAAATGAGTGGTTGAAAAAGAAGGATTTTTTATTTATTTATGTGTAATATTATTTTATGAAAGATTGTGTGGTTGAAAATAAGAGAGATAAAAATAAAATGGAAATTAATGGGGGCCAAATGGGGTTTTTCATGGGACTGAGGGTGGGTAGGTGATGTCACTTTACAGCATGAATGTTATATTGAATATCTGTCATCTGGTTATATGACGTCAACTAAGACGTATGACCTGGATTGCTTTGGCTAACTAATTGAATGTTGCTTTTTCATTACACCCTCAATATATAATGGGTGGACTAACGTATAAATGCAGGATACTGCTTCTCTTCTTGTTAATTATTGCCATCATATGTATAATAATGGAGTCAATGGTGATGATATCAGTATAATTTAGCTTTATTTTTTCTTTATTAATGCTCATTTTATAAAAGTGCTCTGCGCAAGAAGTTCCTTAATGTGGTGAAAATGTTCACTTATGAAGATTCTAGGTTACTGTAATTTATTTATTAGTTTGCACTGAATGCCAGTGAATATGATATTATGGGTAAAAATGTTGCTATAGTGACTTTTTTTTAATTTACTTTAATTTATTATCGACCTTTTTGCTCCGAGACTAAGGTCTCTGATATAATTTTGGTTGTTGATCTACAAAACCAAGGGTACAAGTTTCTAAACCAACTATTTGCTCGGTGGGGCGGGTGATTAATTATATAATGTTTACAATGTGTGATTCAACCCTTTTCATACACGTATTGTATCTTTTTGGAGCAGGGGTCCATCATATGGTTACAGAGGCAAGGTAGTACTTTCTTTTGAGGAAAATGGTTCTTCTAAAGTTGGGGTCAGGTTTGATAGAACAATTCCTGAAGGTACTGATCTTGGAGGCCTCTGCGAAGAAGATCATGGTTTCTTTTGTGCAGGTATTTTTTCTTCTTGTCTGGCTTCATGTGTTAGATTTGAATCCATGATCAAGTATCATCGACTCTGGCTATTTGTTTTATTTCTGTGCAGCTGACTCATTACGTCTTGATAACTCCAGTGCCGATGATGTTGACAAGCTTGCCATTAATGAACTCTTTGAGGTTAATGCTATTATATGTTTTATTTGATATGCCATAACCAAATGGCTTTTATGTTGCATTTCTATATCTTGTTCACAATTACAATTGTCATTCTTTTTATTTTTCCCTCTGAATTTTGTAATTTTGTAGGTTGCTTCTGTAGAAAGTAAAAGTAGTCCACTAATTTTGTTTATGAAAGACTTAGAGAAGTCCATGGTGGGAAATCCTGAGGCATATGCAGCCTTTAAAAATAAGCTTGAAAAGTTACCTGAAAATGTTGTTATCATAGCTTCTCATACTCAGACGGACAGCAGAAAGGAGAAAGTAAGCTGTAGTTTTCTTGTTTTTGCTTTCTCAGACCTTTGTGTATATATGTATTGAAACTTGTCGAGCACATTTATTACACATGAATTTGTTAAACTCAAACTCTTTAATACTTGTGTATTTCAGTCCCATCCTGGCGGATTGCTGTTCACAAAATTTGGAAGCAACCAAACTGCATTGCTAGACCTTGCCTTCCCGGTATGCCCTGTTAAATGAACGTGGATGGTGTATTTTTAGCCTGCTGACCGTTTCATTTGTGCTCACTCTTGTTTGATTTTTCAATGTTTTCTAATGATAGTTATGGAATTTTTACCCTTTGAATTTCTCTTTCTGTTATCTATTAGAGTGTGTTTGATTGACATNTTCTTCAGGGCATTCAAAATGAAAACAAGAGTTTGAAAAAATCTCTCAAGGTAACCCTTTGCAGTCTTTCTTAAGTTGCACATGGGTTCGCCAAATGTTTTCCACTTTCTTTCATGTGACATGAGATAGGGAAATGATTGCTTGAGTTTTCAGGATGTGGTTACCGAGAATGAATTTGAGAAAAGACTCCTTGCCGATGTTATTCCACCTGGTGATATGGGAGTTACTTTTGATGACATTGGAGCATTGGAGAATGTGAAGGAAACTTTGAAGGAACTAGTGATGCTACCCCTGCAAAGGCCAGAGTTGTTCAGCAAAGGACAGCTGACAAAGGTGAAATGACTTAATTTATAATTCTTATTCGGAATATTAATAAATCTTCCCTAGGCGTGTTGGTCATGTATGGCAATTCTTCTACTTCTTTCTTTCAGTGCTAACGATGTTGCTCTTGGCAGCCTTGCAAGGGGATATTGCTTTTCGGACCTCCTGGTACTGGTAAAACAATGCTAGCAAAAGCTGTTGCGACAGAAGCTGGTGCAAACTTTATTAATATATCAATGTCAAGCATCACATCAAAAGTACATTTTCTTAGTCACCCTTGAAATTTAGCATTTCTTATAGTCATCTCCCCTTTTTGAGTAATGTTCTTTTTCTTGCATTCAGTGGTTTGGTGAAGGAGAGAAATATGTCAAAGCAGTCTTCTCATTGGCTAGTAAAATAGCCCCTAGTGTAATTTTTGTTGATGAGGTTGGTATAACATCTCTTAAATAAATTAATGCTTCTTGATTAATTGCTGTTCCTTTCAATTTTTCCATGTTGGTCTGTGTGTAGGGGTGTGTGTGTGTGTGTGTGTCTGAACTTTTTGCTTTCTCTTGTCCACGTATACTGTGCCTTAGAGAGAAGAAGGGGGAGGTTAATTTATTGGGGACAGCCAACATTTTTTTGTTTTCTTATTTTGCTTCACGTGATGATATAATATTCTGCTGTTGTCAAATTTCCTGTTTGTTTTTCTTAGCCCTTGTTTGAGCACCATTATTTAAAACTCATTTTCAACTACACATTCATCCAATAAAATAATTTTGCATGTTAACTTAACTTTTTTCTTAAATTCACTTTTTACGAAATCCATCTCAAAAATGCGGCTCAAACAAAGGCTTATTTTTTTCTCCCTTTTTCTTTTTAAATAGCCTTTTATATATGTTCCTATAGGTCGACAGTATGTTAGGAAGACGTGAAAACCCGGGAGAACATGAAGCAATGCGCAAAATGAAGAATGAATTTATGGTGAACTGGGATGGCTTGCGTACAAAAGATAAGGAACGTGTACTAGTACTTGGAGCAACCAATAGACCTTTCGATCTTGATGAGGCTGTAATTAGAAGGCTTCCCCGGAGGTTATATCTTTTCCAAATTCATACCTTTTGCAGTACTCATCCTCCCAGAAACCCCATCCAGCATTTTTTTAGCATATGGACAGTTTGGAGTTACTCTAGTTTGTTAATTTTGTTTGTGTCCAAGTGCAGGCTGATGGTGAACTTGCCAGATGCTCAGAACAGGGAGAAAATTTTAAAAGTGATATTAGCAAAGGAAGAGTTGGCTCCAAATGTTGATCTCGAAGTAGTTGCTAACATGACAGCAGGGTATTCAGGTAGTGATCTAAAGGTATGTGGCCTATTTTTTCTGATTATGTTAAAATTATTTTTTATTATCACCATTTCTTCTAATGGTTGCAATACATCTGTTCTTACATGTTAATTATTTTAATTTTCCAGAATCTCTGTGTGACAGCTGCACATTGCCCAATAAGAGAAATTTTAGAGGAGGAGAGGAAGGTTGGTATGCTTTAATTGTATCTTTTTATCATTTAATCTCTCTTTGTTTAGGCAGAATTTTATATCTAAAGTTGTTTCTGTCAAGAACATACTGATACGAATCAGCTGAGTTGAGTTTGAGCATTTTATTTTTCTGTCCTCTTTCTTTTCTCTTGAAAGTTCATGCTTTGTGTTTTGATCTTTTCATCGAAAGCATGCTGAAGTTTTCATTCTATATTATTATTCATGTGCGACTGTTTTTATGTGCATTTTTGTTTTAATAAAAAATTTTATATCTAAACTTGTAGGAGAAAGTCTTGGCACTGGCAGAGAGCAGACCATTGCCTGAATTGCATAGCAGTGCAGACATTCGTCCCCTGAGTACGGATGATTTTCGATATGCACATGAACAGGTATGTTTGTTTCTGTTACCGTGTGTACATGTACTTGGTGAATGTAATCGTTGCCTTTTCTTGTTAATCAAGAGAAATTCACTGTTTATGTATGATATGAGAAATGAAAAGATTTCTCTGGGCATGACTCCTTCAAAATATTGATTATAAGCTTCCCACCAACCAGAAATGGCCAAAATTGGAATTCTTGATTTCTTTTAGAAGCGAATGAGAGGGAAAAGAGGCAGGCTGGGAAAAATTGCCTTGAAGTATAGGAATTCAGGGTAGTTGTATTGGCAGGAAATAAATTTGGATAAATGATCTTATGGTGCATCTGTTCATAGTCTTGCTTCTTACTCAATTTTGCTTGGTTGTATGGGCCCGGTATGAAGCTTTCTTGTGAATGTTGTTATCTATCTTGACTTGGTACTGGTACTAGTACTAGTATTTTCTTTGTTGCTGTCAGAATATTGTCCTTGTTTTTCAGCTGGTGCAAACTTTATTAATATATCAATGTCAAGCATCACATCAAAAGTACATTTTCTTAGTCACCCTTGAAATTTAGCATTTCTTATAGTCATCTCCCCTTTTTGAGTAATGTTCTTTTTCTTGCATTCAGTGGTTTGGTGAAGGAGAGAAATATGTCAAAGCAGTCTTCTCATTGGCTAGTAAAATAGCCCCTAGTGTAATTTTTGTTGATGAGGTTGGTATAACATCTCTTAAATAAATTAATGCTTCTTGATTAATTGCTGTTCCTTTCAATTTTTCCATGTTGGTCTGTGTGTAGGGGTGTGTGTGTGTGTGTGTGTCTGAACTTTTTGCTTTCTCTTGTCCACGTATACTGTGCCTTAGAGAGAAGAAGGGGGAGGTTAATTTATTGGGGACAGCCAACATTTTTTTGTTTTCTTATTTTGCTTCACGTGATGATATAATATTCTGCTGTTGTCAAATTTCCTGTTTGTTTTTCTTAGCCCTTGTTTGAGCACCATTATTTAAAACTCATTTTCAACTACACATTCATCCAATAAAATAATTTTGCATGTTAACTTAACTTTTTTCTTAAATTCACTTTTTACGAAATCTATCTCAAAAATGCGGCTCAAACAAAGGCTTATTTTTTTCTCCCTTTTCTTTTTAAATAGCCTTTTATATATGTTCCTATAGGTCGACAGTATGTTAGGAAGACGTGAAAACCCGGGAGAACATGAAGCAATGCGCAAAATGAAGAATGAATTTATGGTGAACTGGGATGGCTTGCGTACAAAAGATAAGGAACGTGTACTAGTACTTGGAGCAACCAATAGACCTTTCGATCTTGATGAGGCTGTAATTAGAAGGCTTCCCCGGAGGTTATATCTTTTCCAAATTCATACCTTTTGCAGTACTCATCCTCCCAGAAACCCCATCCAGCATTTTTTTAGCATATGGACAGTTTGGAGTTACTCTAGTTTGTTAATTTTGTTTGTGTCCAAGTGCAGGCTGATGGTGAACTTGCCAGATGCTCAGAACAGGGAGAAAATTTTAAAAGTGATATTAGCAAAGGAAGAGTTGGCTCCAAATGTTGATCTCGAAGTAGTTGCTAACATGACAGCAGGGTATTCAGGTAGTGATCTAAAGGTATGTGGCCTATTTTTTCTGATTATGTTAAAATTATTTTTTATTATCACCATTTCTTCTAATGGTTGCAATACATCTGTTCTTACATGTTAATTATTTTAATTTTCCAGAATCTCTGTGTGACAGCTGCACATTGCCCAATAAGAGAAATTTTAGAGGAGGAGAGGAAGGTTGGTATGCTTTAATTGTATCTTTTTATCATTTAATCTCTCTTTGTTTAGGCAGAATTTTATATCTAAAGTTGTTTCTGTCAAGAACATACTGATACGAATCAGCTGAGTTGAGTTTGAGCATTTTATTTTTCTGTCCTCTTTCTTTTCTCTTGAAAGTTCATGCTTTGTGTTTTGATCTTTTCATCGAAAGCATGCTGAAGTTTTCATTCTATATTATTATTCATGTGCGACTGTTTTTATGTGCATTTTTGTTTTAATAAAAAATTTTATATCTAAACTTGTAGGAGAAAGTCTTGGCACTGGCAGAGAGCAGACCATTGCCTGAATTGCATAGCAGTGCAGACATTCGTCCCCTGAGTACGGATGATTTTCGATATGCACATGAACAGGTATGTTTGTTTCTGTTACCGTGTGTACATGTACTTGGTGAATGTAATCGTTGCCTTTTCTTGTTAATCAAGAGAAATTCACTGTTTATGTATGATATGAGAAATGAAAAGATTTCTCTGGGCATGACTCCTTCAAAATATTGATTATAAGCTTCCCACCAACCAGAAATGGCCAAAATTGGAATTCTTGATTTCTTTTAGAAGCGAATGAGAGGGAAAAGAGGCAGGCTGGGAAAAATTGCCTTGAAGTATAGGAATTCAGGGTAGTTGTATTGGCAGGAAATAAATTTGGATAAATGATCTTATGGTGCATCTGTTCATAGTCTTGCTTCTTACTCAATTTTGCTTGGTTGTATGGGCCCGGTATGAAGCTTTCTTGTGAATGTTGTTATCTATCTTGACTTGGTACTGGTACTAGTACTAGTATTTTCTTTGTTGCTGTCAGAATATTGTCCTTGTTTTTCATATCCCCTGAAGGGTACCAAGCTTTGTTTGAAAGGCTGTCTTTGCCTCTCATTATGCAAATGGTGTGTAGCTTTTTTTTTTTTTGCAATAAGTTTACCTGGGGAAGAAGACCAAGTCATATGTTGGATCTCTCTCCTTTCATTCATACAAATTATACCAAGCATGGATGCTCCTACTAGGGTGGCGTGTGCGACGTGTTGTGTCATTTTAGACATGCAAGGACACGTGTTTGACATGCCACATGGTTTGTTCTATTTTTCATAATTTATATATATATTTTTAATCTTTCATACTTGGGGGATACTTTGCCTTTTCCCTTGAAAACACCACACAGGATAGGGTGGGTGAGGCCAACTGTGCGCTTCAATTACTTTGGAAATGGAACCGTCGAAGATTTTTGATAAGAACAATAAAAAGATACGGATGCTCCTCAGGCACTTTCAATAGGCCATGTGTCACACAATGACAGTCACATTTTGTAAATTATGGAATTTAAAAGTAAAGAAAAAATTAATTGTTAGAACATTTGTCTAAAAAGGGAATATTCTACGAAATTCATGTTGAACTTTTTTTACATCTACATATGCTGATATGCATTTTCCTTTCTTTGGCAACAGTAGTATATAGTTTAATTCAAAGATATATTAATATGACAAATAGCTACTACTATTATTTAAAAGATTTCTCCATTACAAATCAAAACTAAAAAAGTATTGATTTATTAATAAAATAAAGATATAGTATATCAATAGAATTTAAAAGAATTCAAATCGACATGTCCTTGACGTTTCCGTCTAATTTTTGAATATCACGTGTGACATATATCAGTGCTTTTATTGTATATTTGCTTGAACTTGGGTTCATGGTTCTCGTGATAATGAGGTTTAAGCTTGTTCGTGCTGGATGCTGGACTCCTATTATCTCTGGGACTATTATGACCTTTTTCTATTCTCTCTATTTTTTTTTACAGTTAATTGTGATTCTCATTCAAATGCAGGTATGTGCTAGCGTTTCATCAGAATCACATAACATGAATGAGCTTCTCCAGTGGAATGAACTTTATGGAGAAGGCGGTTCAAGAAAGAAGACATCACTTAGCTACTTCATGTAAAGGAGGTACTAAAGCTGTATAGTGTTTCCTTGTTTAGGCGGCTTTTTTTTATCTATTCTATTTGGTGGATCTGATGAGATGGTTGTGGCCTGTGATTTTGAAAATCCAGTTTCAGGTTCTCCTTACCCAAAACCCTATTTTGTGGAACTGGTCCTCGTGTATCATATTTAAGTTCATGGGTATTTCTCCCTGACCAGATAAAAGTTATAAATTATCTATCCTTACCAGATAAGAATTATAAAGTATCTATCCCTGACTAGATTAAAGTTTTAAAAAGTTTTAAGGTATTACTCAATCTGGTGTGACTAAATTTTTCGTTCTGTGGTTCTCTCTTTGTTGGTCGATCAAAACATGCATTGGACTCGCTTCATGTGGACGGGTTATCTGTTTTGTAGACAACTTTCGATGACTTTGATCTTTTAAGTGTACAGAAATATTCTGAACTTCCGGTCGACTTTTTAATGGATCATCTATTGTTTCATCCTTTTATTTTTCTCTATTTACTCTGTTTTCTTGTGTTTTTACAGTTTTTAGCATCTATTTGACTGTGTTTAAAGCCGTGTATGTGAAAACAGACTCAAAAGGAAAGCTCTGAAATATATTTGTTTTTCAGATAATATATATTTTGCCCTAATTGTTGAGCGACTGATGTCATTTCAATTGATTAAGATAGTATGTGCTTTTTCTATATTCCTTGATTCATTTTGTTTGTTGACACAGATGGGTAGTCACTTTCATGTTGGCTGCCAAACTTTATTTTATTTCAAATTGGACACTAAACTGTTATGATTTTGGGATGCTGTCTTGTCCGTTTGTCATTTGATAGTGTGGCAGTTGGGTCATTTGTCAAATAACCTGCCAACTGGATATTGCTGGTTTGTTGGTCTTCTAATGGACATGTGAAATTGTAACGGGAGAAACAAAATAAAGTTTAGTGATTTAACATAAACTTTTGGTAACTTAGTCACCATGAGAGAGGCTACACGATGGTGAACAGTATATGAAGAATGCAAGGTTTTTTACACAATAGTGAAGAATAAAGGAAAAGTGAACCCCAAATTAATCGTGTGGATGGAATGCATGGACAGTGTCTGACTTCACTTCACCGCTAAAAATTGTCTAACCTGGGTGAGTTTTTATTTTTTTTGGCTGTTCGCTTTTTATTTGGGATTTATCTTGGAGTTCTTTTAAAATTGATCTAGTCAAAGATCCTTATTTCCATTTTGACTTTTAAAAATTTGAATATTATCACATTAACCTCTTGAATGGTAAAAGACAGAGATGCCCTTAAATATATTATGTAATTACAAAATATTGAATAGTTTAAAAGACATTATTACTCTTTTAGTTAATAATTGAAAACTAAATACTTCCCCACTTATAAAACTGCCGAACGAGCTTCAAACACAGAAAAACTCTCATTTTTAATCTGTTTGAACTTCAAAATATCAAAAAAATTTAAACGTCGAAACCAGATTTTTTTTTCAGATCAATTACTTTAAATTGGTAAGTATATTTTTTACACGTGCTTAATTTCGATTTCAGTAAATTAGTGTACGTTTGAGTAGTTAAATAATACAGTAGCTGGTAGAATTTTTTTTTTTTAACAAATCTATAATTTATTTCTTTAGAACCATAGAAAAATAAACAGTCTGACGATTAACTGTGGGATGGTAACGAAGACTGTTAGACAACAGACAGCGACTGTCAAAAGACTGTCTAATAGTCGATTGTTGGATGTTAGACTATTGTCTAATAGTTGACTTAGACAGTCGGCTATCTAATGGTCGACAGTCGATTGGCAGTCGGTTGTTTCGGCTTTAAACAGCCAACTGTCGGCTGTAAAATAGTCCACAGTCGACTGTTTTTTATGACTGTTTTACGATTTTTTTTATTATTAATTTCTGTTTTGCCAATTGTCTTATAATTTTAATTACAAGTTGATTAAATATCTGAATTTTTTTTGTTGTAATTGATTAAAAATTTCTATATCGTCATACAGATATGATAATCTCGGTACGTTATTTCGGTGATTTCGATCTGAATGAAAATAATAGATGGGAATGGAGATAGACGAGTGATGTATGTGGTTGTATTGCAATTTCCGTAATAGAGAGTACATCATATGCAGAAGTGTACAAGAATTTGCAAAATAAATTGAATGTTGATTCTTCTCAGTACGATATGCAATTGAGATATTTATTCAATGGTTATGGGGATTCGTCCAGTCCAATGTCACCTATATTTGTTACTAATGATGCTGAATTGAATTATCTATTAGAATTGAATAAAATGCATAGGACTCTGACTGTTCTTGGTGTGACTTTGTTAAGAAGGATGTTGTCGAAAGTGAACGCGAAGATTCAAATGGAGTGGATAATAATGATCGAGATTTTTAGGAGACAGTGGAGATAGTTCCTGCAGATGATGTGGTTATTCCCGAGACAGTTGCTACTGATCGTGAAGTCACTGTTACGCACAGAATTTCGTCGACAGTTGAGGACAACGAAAATATAAATGATTTTACAAATTAAAATTTAATTTCTTTATCTCGACAGAGACGTGAGCGGGGTGGGAGCTCGGGGGTGGAACAAGTAGATCGTCCTCCAATTCTTCGCGTGTGGCTCCCAATGATGACGATTTGTATGTCGAGCAACTATTTGAAACCAAGAAAGATTTGCAGGAAGCTGTGAACCAGATGACATTAAAATATAACTTTGAGTTCAAGGTAAAAAAATCAACCAAGTCATTGTTGACAGTTGCTTGCGTTGACGACAATTGCAATTGGCGCTTGAGAGCGACTACAATGGACACGAATGAGTGCTTTGTAGTTCGCAAATATGCACGGGAACATATTTGCGAAGTGAGAATTTGTTGAAATGACACAAGCAAGCTCGAGCATGGTTTATTGGTCGACAGATAATGCACAAGTATCAGGACCCACGGACGATCTACAAACTTTTGGACATCATTAATGATGTCCGTCGAGAGTATGGAGTGGTCATGAGCTACCAGAAAGCCTGGAAGGCCAAAGAATATGCGTTGGAGGATTTAAGGGGATCGGCTGAGGAGAGTTATACTAAATTGGCTAGGCATTGCTATAATATGGGGACAACTAATTCTGGCACAACATTTTTTATTGAGATGGGGGGCGATAATTGTTTTAAGTATTTTTTCATGGCTCTCGGACAATGTATTTGGGGTTTTCGAAATGCAATGCGACCCGTAATTCTAGTTGATGGTACAACTCTGAAAGTTAAATATCAAGGCAAATTAATTATTACTACATGTCAAGACGTCAACATCCAAATTTACCCTATTGCATTCGGCATAGTCGACAGCGAGAATGATTTGTCCATACGTTGGTTTTTTTCGAAATTGAGGGAAGTGATCGGGGAAGTCGAAGACCTTGTCTTTGTAACCGATTGGGGACAGTCTATAATAAATGGTATCGTTGAAGTTTTTTTCGAGGCATATCACGGGTATTGCATGTACCATATACAAGGTAATTTGAAGATTAGGTATCGGGGCAAAGGCATCGTTTCATTGTTCAAGAGAGTAGTCGAAGCTTATAGTGCTGAAGAGTGTAATAAGTTTATGTTCGAGATAGGAAGTAAATCATTACCGACGTTGGAGTATCTGACGAACATGGGGATCGAACATTGGGCACGGTCATACTTTCCAAGACATCGATACAACATGATGACGTCGAATAACGCGGAGTTTCTCAATTCATTGTTGAAGAAGGATTAAGAGTTATCAATTCTCGCAATGATTGAGAACGTTTATAACAGGCTGCAACAATGATTTTATGATTGACGTGCGGCATCATAGAGTTGCACTAGCGTGTTGGCCCCAACTCAAGAGGAAAAACTCTTTAAAGTGGTAGAGGTTGCGAGGAAGTTGAATGTAGAAGCGCTAGGTAAGTTCCGCTTCTCTGTGCAATGTGCACGTAATACGACATATATGGTGGACTTGACTGATAACACATGCACTTGTACGAGATTTCAGTTGAAGAGTTTTCCATGTGAGCATGCAGTTGCGGTGGCCATGTACCGAGGCTTTGTAGCAAGAACGTTATGCTCTTTGTATTATACGACTAAGTCTTGAAGAACAGCATATGCTGAGATTATATTTTCTCTGCCGAATGAAGCCGAGTGAGAAGTTCTCGAGCATATTCTCCCGCTTCATGATTTGTTGCCACCAGCAGTTGAACCGTGTGGTCCTAGACGTCCAAGTACATCTAGAATACTATCTACCAGAGAGTTTTCTGGATCGCGTAGGTGTGGCAAGTGCAGAGCCATAGGGCATACTTGACAATTTTGTACCATTCAAATTCCTCTAAATGACAGTTAGACAGGTACGTAAAATGAATAATATTTCTATTTACTTTACACTATTCAATATTTGTTCTTCATAAATGTTCAATGTTCAATATTTATTCTTGATAAATGGTATTTATAATGATTCATATGAAAAAATTAGTTCCATACTTGACATATCTGTAAAATAACAAAAAATCAACTTACAGAAAAATAATTAAATTTTCAATGTGAATGTTATATACATTAAACAAAGATTTACAATTATTTCATAATCACAAAAAATAATTAAATTTTCAATGTGAATGTTATATACATTGAACACAAATTTACAATTATTTCATAATCACAAAAAATAATTAAATTTACAATTCGAATGTTACATATATTTAATACAAATTTACAGGTCACCATTAAATTTGAACAAATCACAAGTTAGCTTCTTTCTCCAGTTCTGTATCCACGATTGGTTGATTCCATCAACCGTATGTCTTATACTTAAAAATTCAACGTGCTTAATGACAAATATGACGCAATTGCTGCTACAATTGAACAAGAATGGATCAGTTCAGGACTATGTAGCTAAAAAACTAAATTTAAAAGATGAAAACAATAAAGTTCAAACACTTATCTTATGGATTAGCGCGCTGTCGTTGTGTTCCAAACAATTCGCAATCTGTCCTGTACAGTCATCATCGCTTGTCTGGCCATCATAAGAACAATTACAGCTACGGACTCCAGGTTTTGCTCCAATTGGCCTTGTGTCAAATATGAATGATCTGGGTCATACACATATATAGTCGTGTTAGCAAAAACGATCTCCTGCATAACATAGTGCTTATTGATGCACGCTAGAATGTACATATGTGTACAACCCTCCCATGATTTCCCCCGACACTCGACGACATTCCTATGATCCACTCGAGCATATATTCTGGCATTGTGTACTCGTTACCCATAAGTTGGAGCGACT